GGTAAGTCTACATTGACCACAAATACATCCCATAAGTATGGGTGTGTGTGTGTGTGTGTGTGTGTGTGTGTATTTACACTATTTAGAATACAATAAAAGGGAACTATAGACACCGTAAAACAATTAGTTGTCAGTGAAATAGAGGATGTTTCTTAACTGCAGAATAACCAGCTCATCACAGCATTTGTTTGAGTGTTTACGCTTGCAAAATACTTGGGGGGGGGGGAAGCACCCTAATCCTTCCTTATCTACTATAAGCATTTGTTGCAGTTTGGGAAGCCCCCTTTTTTTATGTGTTGAAGTTTCCTAACGTTTTGTTGTACTCGTGTTATGAGCATTTCCTCATCGATCCGTTGTCTCAAAATGTTGCAAAGTAGTTCCCTTTTGAGTAGGAATCCTCCGATTGTATTTTCAGGCAAACTTTCCATTAGTTTGAAAAGCTGTACTTTCTCATAATTTTGATGAATTCTTTTCCTTTTAGTGTCACGGACAATGTGTTGGTCCCAGTTTGGCCACACAGCACCGCCATGTTTTCTGCCTGGATGCAAACGCTACAAAAGTCTCCTACAGGATGTGCTCTGGACTGCAGAGGTAAACAAGAATACACATGTATGAATTAAGCTGATGTATAATGTTGGCGATAAATAGCACTGTAGTAGCTGATGTTTCAGTGAGCCACTCACCAAAGTATTTCTGACAACTTCTCGACCCTTTTCTTTGTGTGTGCGTGTGTGTGTGTGTGTGTTCGTAGGCCCAGCTCTATGAAGAATTGCTCCACAGAGACGTGTGCCCTTTATTGGCGCGTGGGCCAGTGGACCCAATGCACCGCCACCTGTGGGCGCCATGGTTTCCAGTCACGCCAGGTGACCTGCGCACACCGCCGTTCTGGAAAAGCAACACGTGAACATCAGTGCATGTGGAGGCCTCGCCCCCCTAGCTGGCAGCGCTGCAACATTTTGTCCTGTGGGAGAGGTGAGAGGGGAGAGCAGTGCACTGAACGCAGAACAGAAGTGTTGTGAATGTACATTAAGGAATCTTTATTTTGTATTCTCTTTATTTATTGAACGTTGTGTATCATATTCAGTGAAGTATAATGTGGAAATACCCACTAAAAAACATCCACGTTTCTTTCAGTGCCAGCCTGTTTCATCAACATTTAACCTCCTATTTATAGAGCTTTCCGCAATAAACTTTTAAATTTAACTTCAAATATAAATGGTATTGCCAGGATAGTTTGGTCAAAAAGTCAACAATGGTAAATGACATTCCCCTGATGGGCCTAGCCAACAATGTTCAAATCTTGCTTTCAGTGTGATGAGGTCTTAACATTTCTAACATTTAAAAATGAAACCACCAACACAGGAAAAAAAGGGAAATACAGTAGTGGTAATAAAACAATTTAAAAAAAGTTCTTCCTTGTATCAGGTATTACCCAAGAATGTCTCTGATGTGTTTAATAACCTACAGACATGTTGGATAAAACCTCATGACATCAGATGTGCAGTATAGATCTTCTTGTTTTGAAATGAATTTTTTCAGGGTTTCCAAAAGCACACAGTGCACCAAAAACACTTTTTGTTTCCATGGCAGAAGTTTCAGAAGTTTCCACCTGGTATTCCCTATGCAAACATTGTAACGGCAGAATTTGACCTGACTCCATTCTGTGAATATCAAGCAGCATTTCTGAACATATCATCACTTTATTGTTCTGACTGCCTTGAGTACTGATGGTGGTTAAATCCCCTTGAACAAATGTTGAAGTGGAAACCCTTTCTCCTGTGCGTAAACATGTGTAATAAACTGTAATCTCGTTGTTTTCCAGCAGGAGAGTGTCGGGACAGCACGAGGTACTGTGAGAAGGTTCGACAGCTGGAGCTTTGTCCGCTGCCTCAGTTTAAGAACCGCTGCTGTCACTCCTGCAGCAACACCTGAGGCGGGGAAATATTCAACGAGGGCCAATGACAACCTGAACAGGGCCGGGGGGGGGAAAGATGCTCAGAAAGGACACGGAGACTTGCAACCTCTACACCTCGTCCTACACCACAACTGTGCCCATTGTTCTGGCTTGGACGGGAGATCCTTTGTGAGGAGAAACATTTGGGTAGTTACACTTTGAGTGTGTGTTGTCTACTCTCCTTAAAGAGGCAATCCGTGTGGTATCCGTGGGGTTGAATTTGAAAGTATTGAGAGGAGTGATGTAGCTTAAAAAAAATAATGCTTCAGCTTTACCTCTTTTTTTTTTTTAAATCTGAAGTTATACCTACAGCTTTTCCTGAATTATGTAAAAGTATTGACATACATTTCCACTGCAGGTATTAGAAACTTCTGGTGACTGTTGACTTCTTTCTTGTAAAGAGGAACAGGTTTGTAAAAAGAAGACTTTTAGTATCTGTTGTATTTTAAGGGTTTTCCTAAAGCATTGGAACAGAGGTTCTCCATCACCATGTTCTACTGTAGCACCGTCACCTTATGTCCAAAATAGCATACGACATGCAGTTCAGCGTAAACAAACATTAACATGTAATAAATATACTTCCTTGACTGACTTCATACCCGGGGATTCTGGGTAGACTCCAAACATTTTGATAACCACTGGAGACGTGTGTGTTTGCTGTTATTGCAGTGGTCTAAGAAACAGCGTTAATAAATGTTTCTTCTTTCTTTTTTTTTTTAAAGCTAAAGGAACTTTTGCTAATGACATACATGGTTATACAAGAGATGACTGCATTGGACAAATGTCATACATTTAGAAAAAGCTTTTTTTTTTGCTATCATTTATGGCATTCCGCTCATGTTGATAGCACAGATTGAAAAAGGTTTTGAAAGAAGGAAAGTAAGAAAAAAAGACGAGTAGTTGAGAGTGCAGTTTGGGGTGGAAAAAGTCAGACAGAGATGTTGTTTGTATGGGTTGCACTATGGAGGAGTATGATTTAAGAAAGTCACATATGGGGGGGGCGGTTGTTTTGCACTCAACTCATCCAAGTCTTTGTTAAAAACATGGCTTGTAGAGTTCTGCTTCATTTTGTAAAGTGTTATTGTTTGTATATTTTGTTTTTTTGTGTGCGTGTCCTTTAACCACTTTGTGATGTTACAGCACATTTAAAAGTGCGTTGAGCTTAACAGTTTCTAAATGAACTCATAAAGCTCAGTTTATTTTGTCCACCGTATTATATTTGAGAAAGCAAAACCTTACATTTTGACCGCTCTTTTGTAATGCTTGTTCCTTGGTTAGATTTCAGTGTAGGTGTTGTATAACTCAGAAGATGTAAATATGACCTACGCGTTATGTAAACGATACTTTTGTTGCTTTTTAAGAGGAACGTTTTAAATGTACAGTTCTTACATGACTGTAAACAGGGTTTGCACTTTGAAATTATGTCCACAATTCTTTATCATCATGTGCAACACAACAAAGCCCTAGTAGGAAACTACTTTCATAAAGGCGTCTTTATTTGATTTTACAAGTGAACATCATTAGCATATTACCTATGTTCTCAAGTTGTATGTAGATATTTGTCTTGTTCTTTAAGCTATTTATTTTCATGTTTGTTCTTGTGCATAGTTTTGTAAATAATTACAAGGTTGGGTTTTAAGTATTCCTCTCCCTACAGATCTGTCTTGGTATTTAATGTGCATGCGATGGGGACCCTCTGCTGGTGACTAGATGTGTTGCTCTCTGCTCATGCCTGGTTTGTCATGAAATAAAACCAAATACATTCCTTTTTAAACCAGTTTGTCTCTAGATTCTCTTTCTTGTTAGTGTTTTTAATAAAAAGCAGAGTGCATTATTATTATTGTTCTCTGAGCTGGCTCGATCAGTCAGATGGCACTTTAAAGAAACACAATACACTGAGTTTTAAATGTGTAAACAGCAACGCTCCAGAAACAATCTGTCAGCTGGTAATCAGAAATAAAATCAGAGCAAGGTCAACACCGAGGGGAAACTGTAGAGCTCCAAAACACAGAAGTACATTTGGTCTGCCATCCTTCTCACTAAGAGAAACAAACCTCAGGAACACATTACCATCTGAAATAAAAATCACTGACAGAGCTCAAGGTTTTGAAGTAAGTAAAAGTCTGAGTCATTGACTCTATCCTCTAATCTTCAAATTACTGTTCCTTCTTATTTATTCTCTTATTTGTATTGGGCCGGCTGTGGCTCAGTTGTTAGAGTTGTTGTCTCTCAACCTGAAGTTGAAGGGTTCGGTCTCCAGCTCCTGTAGCAACATATCCTTGTGTCCTTGGGCAAGACACTTGCTTTGTAGGCGCCGTATGAATGGGATTAGTTACTTCTGATGGTCACTTTACATAGCAACCTCGGCCATCATTGTGTTAATTGGTGTGAATGGGTAGGTGTGACGTGATGAAAAAGCACTTTGAGTTGTCAGAAAACTAGAAAAGCGCTAAAAGCTCAAGTTTACAATTTATCTATAAGCATCCTTATTTCTCTATTTCTTTAAGTGTAATGCTTTTGTTTTAATCCTAAAAGCCTAGCCAGGGACAGGCGTTGTAACATAGCCACGGCTAGAAACCAGTATGCATGGCATCTACTTTGTATGACACAATCCTCATTGTAACTGTCCCTGTTAAATAAACAAAAGAAAGCAAAAAGTGAAAGCAGAAGTAAACAACTGAAGTGGTTGTAAAGCACAAATGCCTTCGTTTCTGTCAACTCATTACTCAAATGCAAACATTTCACCTTCAACACTCAGCAGAACATGTTCAGGAAGCATACTACTGTAATGTGTGAAACCAGCCTTGAACCAGAATAACTAGACTTTCAAGGGAGTATTTTATTAAAAGGAAATGCACTTCCTGTTTTCTGCTTTCAGAACGTTCACTTATCACTCAGCATCTCAGCTTTTGAAGAGGCACAAACGTTTGCAGGATTTCCCCACCCATCAGTGGAAAGTGCTTTACAACATGAATCTAAAGGCTGCGATTCAGATAAGCTGATCATAACTGCACTTATCTGATGTGCCGAGGATTATTTCGGAAGTCTTAGTAAGTCGGGAGTTTTTCACTCGTGATGACCGTGAGGAGGTCTTGTGTCAGTTGGGGCCCCGGGCAAGAGTAAGAAAGGTGTTGGACATCCTGCAGTGTAAAGGCGAAGAAGCAGCTAATATTTTCCTCTCAATTAGCATCAATCATCAGCAAGAGGCACAGAAATACTCCAAAGAAGGCAACACAGATCAACCTCAGTCCGTAGGTATGCAAATAACACCCCAGAGATGTCATTAGCACATGTTGAAAGGTATTTCTGAAGAGTTTGACTACTGTAATAGCACTGCATTGTTCTTAAACAGTAAATGTTCTTTGAAATAATAATATCAAATAATTTAGTTTCAAGATCTTCGTTTTTTTTTTTGCAAAATATTCAAACATATCTACCTTTGCAGAGTACAACAAAGTCAAACAAAAGCATAAAGATGTCCTTAGGCGCCGGAGCGAGAGCATGCTCTTCTACAACACTCGACATGGAGAGAAAATCCTTTTTTCTGAACATTATGTCAACCTCTTGTTGGTCGATGGACACCAGGGGTTGGACATAAAAAGACATGAGGTTCTGACATTTGGGCAAAAGCGATTGTCTTTGCAGCAGAAGTCAGCAGTTCATAGAAAAATCACACCAGGGGAAATATTCCTCAGTCCAAATGGAAGTCGTCCAGTCAAGAAAGTTCTGGTGACAGGGGTGGCTGGCATTGGGAAAACCATCCTTGTGCAAAAGATGCTGTTTGATTTCGGGGCAAACAAAAACTGTCTTACATTTGACTTCGTCATCCACATGACCTTCAGAGACCTCAATCTGATCAACAAACCCACAAGCTTCCGGGAGATGGTCTTGCGTAAGAACAGGCACCTAGCTAAAGAATTGGATAACATTCTAGCTAATGACAACAATCTGCTTATCATACTGGACGGCTTTGATGAATTCAGGCACTACAGGAGCTGCGAGGTAGATGTATTTGTGTCTGAGCCTGATGAAGACGCAGAGTGGTGGAGGTCTTTGGAAGTCTGATGCTTGGGAACTGCTGCCCAATGCTTCTGTCTTACTCACAAGTCGACCTGCAGCTATCAACCACATCCCTGTCGGCTGCATCGACCGTTTGTGCTCATTTCTGGCTTCTCGTTGGCCGAAGTTCAAGACTTCTTCTCACGATACTTCCAAGACAGAGCTCTTGCTGACCGCATGTTCGCCGTGGTGTCAGCGAATGATCTCATGCTGACATTGTGTTACATACCTGCGTTTTGCTACATCGTGTGCTGCATCCTCAAAGAAAGCAAAGAACTCGGTGGACCAAGCCCCAAGACCATGACAGACATTTACGTACAGTATCTAGTGGCATTGCTCCGCTCTCACACTCAAGCAAGAGCTGAAACCTTTTTTCAGGAGCAACAAGCAGGAGCCAATCAGCAGCTATCTGACACTGTGCTAAAGCTGGGCCGACTTGCCTTCAAAAAGTTGATGGAGCATCAAACTCTTTTCTACAGCAGCGACCCAGATGTGGCAGCAGTAAAGGGATGCAGCCTTGTGAGTACCTTCCTTGACAAGACGGTGGCCCAAGAGCCAGGCTGTACTGAAGAGGTTTACTCCTTTGCACACCTTACTGTCCAAGAGTTCTTTGCAGCCGTTTACTGTGCCGTCACTGATCAGCCTTTACCTGATGCAATTCAGAACTCTACAACTCCCGTGGAGGGATCCAACTACGGACATTTGGACCTATTCAACCGCTTCCTTTCTGGAATCCTCTCTGAGCGCAATGCTAACCTTCTGTCGAGGCAGGTGGGGCTGTGTTGTCATAAAGAAAAAGTGGACTCCTATCGTCAGAGGATCATCAGAGAACTTACAGCACGCTGTGAAAACGGGGCCCATATCCTCAACCATCTGCACTGCCTGTTTGAGCAGCAGGACCCTTCTCTGGCCCTCGCTGTACAACCAAAGACACTGCGGATTAATGTTTGTGATGAAACACTCTCCCAAATGGACTACAATACTATCAAGTACTTCCTAAACCTGACAAACGGGACAATATCAGAGCTGGATCTGACTGGGACCGGAGTAAGCTGTGAATCACTAAGAGATATTCAGCCCCTGCTGATTAGATGTCAGTGTCTTTGGTAAGTTTCAGATCAAATTAGATTGAACAACAAATCTGTTAATGTATTTATATGAGTTTTCTTATTGTTATTTTTCTAAATGTTGTTCCATGTTCAGTACCAGTGGTCAATATTGCTGGCTTTAAATTATCAATGTATTAAGAGTTAAAACCATCATTTTGTGGATGATATATTGTGCACTCACCCCACTGCTTCATTTTTAAGGCTGGGAGAAAACATCCTCGATATGGAAGCAGCTCAAGCGATTGCTGATGTGTTGCAAGTGTCAGAAAGTATAACCCAACTAGGGTAAGATGTCGATAAACTATTCAGGCTTCAAGAGATTAAAAGCTCACAAAGTACCACAAAGACTGTTTCCCAATTTGTATTCTCGTTTTAGACTTGGATGGTCGAACATTGGGGATGAGGAACTACTTGTTCTATCACATGCCATACGCGTGAAAAAAAAGCTTGAACAGTTGTGGTAAGAAACTTGGCATAACTTTACAACAGGGAGCATAATATACTTTTAGGAAATTAAAGTATTTCCAACATAAGGCTTCTTAGCCCTCTTTACTGCTGCTTGCACTGGTGTTTGAATCTTTTCAGCCTTTTTATATTTATGTATTGTTAACACTTATAATAGAGGTCTTATTTATAATAAAGTTTGCACTGAGCTTCATGGCCCTTGGAAAAGAGTAGACCTGTAGTTATCGACCTGTAAAATATGTCCATATTCTGTGTATTATCTGTAATCTAGTATAGCATGCTCACTGCACCTTAATCTGTATATTATAATCTGAAGAATATACTTATATTCATAGTATTTGTATTTATAGCATCCCATTAATCCAGCCATATATACCCAATAATTCACTTTTTTCAGTCTACATCTGTAAATTCTGTGATTACTGTACATAGCACAGATTCTTGCACTTTCTGCTTATTTGCACTTCTGGTGAGATGCCAAACCTCATTTTGTTACTCTATACTTGTATATGTGTAATGACAATAAAGTTGAATCTCATCTCATCTCAAGTGTTGAATCAAAGAAAGAACTGACTGTATAGGCACAACATGGTGCCCTAAATCTAAACTGAATAGATATATAAATAAAACATAATATACGTCTTATTTTCTGGCCAATTTCTATTTTAAAAAATCATTTAAAAAAGGGGGAAAATATGCTGAATAGTTTTTATACGGTATGGCTTGCTGATAAATTTAAATGTAAAACATTTTAAACATTGTTACTGGTATGTGCTTTTACAGGATGGAGGGAAACCGCCTGACCTACAGAGGTCTGAGGTCCCTCAAGGACCTGACTCCATATCCTCTGGAAAGAGTTGTGTGAGTAGGTTTTTTCATCAAATCATTCTAATCCCAATTTTTTTCAAAGTTACATTTTTCTGAAGCTGTTTTTGATTCTGTTTTCATACAGAGCCATATGGAATGACCTGACTGACACCGATCCAGAAACCTTTAGCACTAGAGAAAGTGTAACTGTGGATTTCACAGATGATGATATGTGGGACGGATGGGGGCAATGGGTGTTGAAAAGGTGTGAGGTCAGCAGCAACGAGAAGTTAGTGATGGTACTCCACAAAGTGTGCAACGTTTCAGCCCACTGCTTGAAAGCAAAGTGGGCGAAAACCTTTTACGAGCAACTAACACAGCTCATCGCTGGCAGGATAGAGAGCTGCACCGAGGAAGACATGTGCAAGAAGCTCAGAAAGTTTGAGAACATTTTGCAACACTGACAGACAAATACTCACTTACCTCAAGTCATAAGCTATAAATGGAGTTCATGTGTTTGTTTGATGTTAAACGCTTTGTGTGAAACATATTGATTGTGAATGATGAACTAGTATCACTACAGAATTATATTTACTACATAATATGATGCAATTTCCTGTCTTCAACCTCTAATTTGGGATTTTTGCCCATGAGGGAATGCATGCAGGTCACATATCCAGAATGTCATTGAAAATATTCAATATGCAAAACAACTAGATGGCCCGTACGGGGATCGAACCCGCGACCTTGGCGTTATTAGCACCACGCTCTAACCAACTGAGCTAACCGGCCACGGCGCTCTGAGACATATATTATATTATTCACCTAAAATACATTAAAGTTCTCGTGTTTAATGTTTTATCTACTTTCAGCACATCAATTGTTCCCCTTAAAAAAAAAAAGGCCATGCTGGGAATTTGAAAGTGAAAAATGTAATCTTTAACTACATACTGGTTATCAGGTTAAACAAATTACAATACCGTAGGCCTACTGTTTACAACAATATATAAAAAAATGTATTACCTTATAATACTGATGTGTTTTCTATTTATTTTGATTTCTATCAACTATTTATATTACAAGCTAAATGTTTTGTACCTTTGTTGTAATATAATAAACACAAGTTTTAAATAAAAAGTGATCAGCTGTATTCACCACTGTCAATAAAATGTTGAAACTTTATGGAAAAAAAAAAAAAAAACGCATCTTGTTCGTTGTATTTTTTTTTTTTTTTTTTAGAAACTTACCGGAAGTGTTAAAAACTGCTCGCTCTGATTGGCTGATTGTTGTCCGACGATTTTATCCTGCGACATGAAAATGTCGTACTAGTGCCGTGTTCGTATGAAGTTAGCCGGTAAGCTATCGTCTTCTTTTATCTTTGTGCATGAAGCCCGTCAAACTTAATCGTTTCTTCACCTCTAATTAAGTCAGTTTTGTCAGTTCAATCATTGCTGAGTGGTTTAGAGGCTTTTGTAATGAAGTGGAGCGACGGTAGAATATTTAAAATGTCGCTTCCCGCGAATCGACATTTTAGCTTCAACAACTGTTTGCTAAATGCATTAATAATAATCCTCGATTCAAACAGGAGAGGATAACTTAGACTACTTAGTAGTGGATATATGTGATACTTATCATGTTTACTACTGTCTACTCGACGTTATATTGAATAGTTTCTGCTTATAATATGTCTACACTCATGCACTTTAACTTATGTCAATACTGTCTATTTACAACTCTGTTTCTGCACATTTACATTTAATCTTTCATATTTAATTTACAACTCTGTTTCTGCACATTTACATTTAATTTTCATATTTAATTTACAACTCTGTTTTTGCACATTTACATTTAATTTTCATATTTAATTTACGACTCTGTTTTTGCACATTTACATTCAATCTTCCATATTCAATCTTCCTATTTAAGACTAGTAATGCTAAGTTAAATCCTGGTTGTATATATTCACATTCTTAGTTTTGATATTTTTAGTACTTATTTACTTTGTATTTAATATTATATTGTGTTTAGATTTGCTAACTTTGTGTTTTTTACTCATATTGTGTGTTTGGATAACCTGCTGCTGTAACGCCACAATTTCCAAGTTTGGGATCATTAAAGTAATTCTATTCTATTCTATTCTATACCTACTTCATCGATTGCATGTTTTAATCTTACTGAAGGGGCGTGTTTACTATGAAGCTGTGGGTCCTGCATTGTAGGATAAAAGCAAACAAGATTAGGTCTGGGATAGGGATCATAAATATTTTAAGCGATGTAGGGGTTGGTGAAAGGTTGTTTCATTTGTGTACATTATAATTGAGTTTGTTTGTTATTATCTTCTGCACAGCACATTGGGTTTAAGAAGTTACTATTTGCTATGTGTACATTACCGTCCTTGTGTTGCAGTCTCACCCACAGGATGATCGACATAGAGAGAGGTGCTGCTGAGGCGAGCACCGACGAACCCAGCAGTAAGAGCAAGGACCTCGAGAAAAAGAAAAGGACCCGTGTGAAACATCTACTGGGTGATGTGAAGAAGCAAGTGGAGTTCTGGTTTGGAGATGTCAACCTTCACAAGGACCGCTTCCTGAGAAAACTCCTCGATGAGTCAGAGGACGGATGTAAGACTCTATAATGCACTCCAACATTCACATCTGACGTTGATTACAAGGTTATTTGAGTAAAAACTTGATGTTTTTGTCTTTAAGATCTTGACATATCTGTGTTGGCAAGCTTCAATCGAATGAAGACGCTGACAACGGACACAAAGCTGATCGCGAGAGCGCTGAAAAACTCATCTGTTGTCGAGGTAGTGTGAAGTGAATCTCTTGGAAAACTCTTAAATTAGTTTCTAATGAATGTACTCAACACACTTGGGTTCCTTTTCTTTTCAGGTTAACCTGGAAGGGAATAAAGTGAGGCGTCAGCTTCCTATCGGAGACGTACCAAATAACGTTGACAGCCGCACGGTCTATGTGGTAAAATAGTTATTTTCTACGTTTAAAGAATTAAATAAATGTTGATTTATTTTCTGGATGTTTATAAAGATTGTTTTTAAAGATTGATTATATATACAGAATAAACACCTTACATTTGCTTACACTTTTCTGCTCAATTTGAGAAATGCCTGCTAGAATAAATAATGTTGCACGATCCTAAAATAATAGATATTTCTTTCTTTTTTTTGCAGGAACTTTTGCCCAGGGATGTGGATCACAGCTGGGTCGAGAAAGTGTTCACAAAATGTGGGAATGTGGTTTATATCAGCATCCCTAGATACAAGAGCTCTGGTGACCCTAAGGGTTTTGCGTTTGTAGAGTTTGAGAATGAAGAACAAGCACAGAAAGCCATAGAGGTGATCACTTGAATTTGAATTTTTAACCGGGATATCTGACCACAGTAGTGTCAGGTTTTTGCTCTTTGGAGGAAAGAAACTCACAAAATATTTGGATGTTTGTAACAGATGCTGAACAACCCCCCTGAAGATGCTCCCAGGAAACCTGGGATTTTCCCTAAAACAAAGAACAGAAAGCCTCTGCCCCTGCCAGATGACATTCCCCCACCAGGTACAGTCATACATTTCTCTTACATCTTTGCTTCCCTGGATCATATGACAACATCGGTGCTATTTATTTAACAACTTGCACCCTTTGGAAACCCTCCAGGTGAAGAAGAGGAGAAGAAAAAGAAGAAGAAGAAGAAAAAGAAAGATGGCGCCAGCTTACAGACTTCAACTGAAGAATCCAAAGAGCAGGTGATGGAAGCAGAGCCCTCTGAGCAAAAGAGGAAGCGCTCAGCAGCTGCGGATTTGGATCCAGAGGTAGCCAACTCTCAGAAGACACCTGGGAAACTGTCGGATAAAAAAAGACGACGGTCGACCACAGCAGAGGGAAGTGAAAGTGAGCTGCCGTCAAAGATAAGGAGAGCAAGTGAAAGTGAAGGTGTGCAAAAGGAAAAGGATGTCACAAAGACGAGTAAGTTATTTTATCATCTTCTGCTCCATTCCAGGTCTAATTCATCTTCTTTTGCTTGTCCTCTCTCAAAACAAAGCTGCAATAAAACAAGTAGCATGTTGTGTAAACTGTGTCATTCCCATTGTTTTCTGTAGAAGCGCCTGCTCAAAGTGAAACAGAGAGGCGTGTTGAGGAAGGGAAAGAAAACATGGATGACTCCACAGTTAAAGCGAAGAGAAACAAGAAACACAAGGAGAAACTGAAAATCGAGGAGGAAGTCATCCCACTCCGGGTTCTATCGAAGTGAGATCAACATCCCTTTTTCTTTAATGCTGTCATCGTAATGATTACGTAAAAGAAAACCCCCTTTTCAAAATGTCATTTTTCTAACACAATGATTGTCTTCCTCTTTCGCGTGAAGGAAGGAGTGGCTGCTGCTGAAGGACGAGTATCTGATCTTGCAGAAGCGCAGCATGACTTCCCTAAAGAGGTGCATGACCAAGATATATCGCAAGGAGCCCAAGGTGCCAAAGGAGCACAAGGAGCACAAGAGACACGTGGAGACGGTCGATGATCCTCAAGATGGAAACAGTGAGTTCAGAATATAAAGACTAACAGCTGACTGTATAAATAAACACTAGTGGTGTTTTAAAAAGTTAAACTCTCTATAGAAAAAACATCTTTGACTCTGGATGATCAGCCATTCACAGTTTCATGCATATTCTTGTGTCCTTTGGGATTAATCTCTCTGTTGGCAGTCAGGTCAGAGGTGAATCATTTTTGTAGTCCAGTGTGATGAAAACGTGGCTGAAACTTGAACATTCTAAATAGGAGTGGGGATTTCCTGTGTAACACCACATGAAAAGCGATACCTAGCCCACGGTAGTCATAGTATGACGATCCAGTGACTCTGCAGAAGTCGGTGTATTGCTTCACAGTTTAACGATTACGTCACAGTGTCTGAAAAACTGAAGAGTAAAGTACGCCTCCTTAAAAAATCACTTCCATGAACATGTATTATTCAGAGCGTTGTTTGTGTCAGCTTCACAGAAGTAATAATAATAATAATAATAATAATAAAGTTTATTTGTATTGCGCTTTTCGCAGACAAAGGTCACAAAGTGCTTTACATCAACAAAAAACAACAACAGTATACATACAATGAAAGAAGGAAAAAATTTGACAGGAAATCTGTTTTGTGCCATATTTGTCATTTAAATTATACATAACGTGAGTCGGTGTGTATTTTAGAGGTCTACCAGAGGGAACAAAAAGGTTTAACCTGAATCCCTGTGTGACATTTTTCTATTGTGTTCAGTGATGCAGTTTATGTGCAGCTGTGTCGCTCTTTTATTACCGTCTGTTTCCACTTTGTAAAGTTTACTTTACTGCACTCCTACTAGCTGCACTACGGTAGTTGAGATCTCAGCCTGCAGTGAAAGTTGATAAGTACAGAAACCTCGTCTCTGGAGTCGTGCTTCCCACCTTCGCTCGTCACTCGTTCACTGAAACAGTATTCCACTGTTTGCTTTAAACACCATTATGACCTCAGGACGGAGAAGAGGTGGTACAAGTGGCGTTTTTAACTCCATCTGCGTCACTCGGTGGGTTTCCCAGCGTGCTGTTTTTGATGGGGGGGCTGCTCTCACTGTAATGACGGTGCATGCCTCAGTTTACATGAGTACTTCGTTTGCACTGATACACAGAACACAGCCAACATTCTAGATTGAGTTATCAAGTCAGTACAACAATATGATGCCTTTTTGAAATTTTGTCCAACCCCTACGTCCTATAACGATGGAAGTATTTGTCCTGGAACTAGTTTCTACTAAATCCAGGACAAAGGGAAACAGTATGGACGTTAAAACATGACTCTAACTTCATAAGATCAACTTGTTGGTGAGTTTCTGATAAGATTTGACATCTTCAAACAGAAGCTAAAGATGCTTTTGGTCAGAACAATATTGCATTGTGTGGTTTGTTTGGCTGAATACTAACATTGATTTGTGTTTTGCTGTTTCCTTCTAGATGAGAAATGTAACAAAAGCGAGAAAGCGAATAACCACGGCCCTCAGTTTACCAGCGGTGTCATCATTAAGATCACAGACAGCAAGCCGCTACCACAGAGGAAGATCATCAAAGTACAGTATATGTTCCAGTGTCCAAGACTCTGTGTCATGCACATTTCCAACATGCCTTTAGATCACTACCAGTCTGTTCTACACTCACTGTAAAGTTGATCACAGCAGCTGGTGTACTTCTCGTTTATTAGCACATAGCGCAGTAAGATTATGAACTCGAGTGTAACTTGTGCTTCTTTGTGGATTACGTTGTGCAGGCTGCTCTGTGCAAGATCTCCCCGGTGGCGTACGTGGACATCCTAGAAGGAGACGCTGAGGGTCACATTCGCTTCCATAGCCCCGAGGAGGCTAAAGCCGTTAGCGACGTACAAGCAGAGCTACAGAAGGAGCACAGCTGGAAGCTTGAGATCCTCTCAGGTATGAAGAAAACGTGTAGGGAGAATCATTTGAGCCTCTGTTGCTCTCCCGTTGAGGAGAAGATGTGGATGACTGAGCTGGCACTGTGGAGCTTTTTACATTATTGATGACTGGCAGAAATAATTTACTGTGACAGCGCCCGTCAGCTTGTCTCACGTTCAGTGCTTTTCAAAAATTTCCATCATCACAATTCCACCACAAACAGAGCTTAAAGAAGTGTTGATCACATGTTGTGTGACGATTTAACATGAGTAAGGGATGATGCCCGATGAGGTGTCAATTATCAGGAATTAATGGACGACGTGGAGGCCTACGTGTCAGACGGTTGCCTCCAGGAAGTAAAGAAAAGTAAATCATTATTATTATTAAAGTCGCTGAGTTTGCAGCCAGCTGATGCCAATGCCAGCAGAGTTTTAAAGGCTAGGGTTAGTGTTATGTTGCTATGGTTACTCTGCAGCGCATGCATTTGGAACAGTGAACAGACTTAACTGAAACTACTTCCCTAGATGTCCATATGTCAAAAGTCAATGGACGCACACGTGACACCCTTCAGCCAATCAGAATAGAGTATTCACGCAGACCATGGTATAATGAACTTTCATTGGATGCGTCTCACAGGTGATCACGAACAAAGGTACTGGCAGAAGATCCTCGTGGACCGCCAAGGCAAGCTGAATCGTCCGAGGGAGAAGAAGCGAGGAACAGAGAAGGTGAGATCAGCGTGGACATTTTTAAAAGGAAAAAAAAAACTAATTTATAACGTTTTGTTCATCGCTGACTTCATTCTGAGGTTGTACACAGCAGCTTTTTACTGCATGCTTTATTAGAATTCCATATTTAATGAGGTATTTAGGATATCAAATCCTGAAGAGATATACACACTTTCAGGATTGGAATTTGGTTTGTGCATACTGAAAGCAGCTTATCCTGGACACGCCCATATAAGGATATGGACTAATATGTGAATGACATGTGCTCTGTACAGCTGAAGCAAATTGTTTATTTGCTTTCACATCTGATTTCTATTTCTCTTGTCACTCTGCAGCTCATATCCAAAGCAGAAAAAATCATCACTGCTCGAGCCAAAGAGGCTCATAAGCACATCCGTTTCCAAGAAGACTGAGCTCTGCTGAAACGAGTGTAAATATTGAAGCACGTAGACGTCACATGATGTGATTTGAAGGGGACACGTTGTGTTAATTTGTTTTAAGCTCAAGAAGAACTGAATGGAATCTTGAACACGTATAAACTAGTTAAAATGTCCCCTTGTTTTTTATTTCTGCACTGGAGCCTCCAAGGTCATGTGGAATGCTACTTTGCATATTGAAAAATATTTCTTTTTTTTGTTTTAATGAAGGGGAGAGTTTGTATAGGATGTAAATATGATCATTTGAAAGATCTCCCAGTCCAGTCATGAACAAGTCAGGGCATTTTCTTTTGAAGACGATTGCCTTTTTGGTTTTTAATAAAAAACATCATTTGTTATTTCTTACACAGTCTTGCTTTTCTTTTGAGTTTCTGTGAGAGGAAGGAGGAACAACTCGCACCGACCTTCATGCAGTCTAATGCTGCAACGATACCACAATTATAAATCTCTATTTGATCCAAGTAGAAATCCAACAACACTTTTAACTTGTTTCGTTACCATGTCCACGGTAACAAAAACACAAGTCCTCAGTAGACATGAATGATATGAGAGGAAAATGTGATGCAGTGACATGGTTTAATATTGCATTAATGATATGCAGTACAAGAAATTAAAGTGCACATTAGCTAAAACTCTTTAAAGTGTAAGTGCCTGTCTGCTGTTCCTTATGAGAAACTAAACCTGTGTTTGCGGCATGTCCCTTCAGAAACCAAAAATAAATCCAGAAAGCAGATTTTTGTTCACCACTGAATTGGCACTGATTACTCGATAGGTAGCTGATAGTTTGCAGATGGCATCAAAACATTGTGAAAGCGTGACCGTTAAACCCAGGCCTCCATCCTTAAAAGTGAATGTGCATGCTGTGAGAAAAGCATCGCCTGTTTACATCAAATATTTCTTATATTTTCACAATGACTTGAACCCAAACCTGAAATTTGCAACAAACTCAGCCGTGCATCGTGTCTAGATTACACATATTGATAAAGTCAGGTTCTGAAACATTGCCTATGTATTTGTGCATCTGCTCTCTGTCTGTAAGAGACGTAAACACCAGATGGACTTTAAAACTTCAGGATTTTCAGACCTGTGAAAATGAAGAGACCATAGATGCTCTCTCTTGTGATTGCTTTTGATTAAAGAATGACAATCTTTAGATTTAATTAAATTTCTGTACCTGTATCGATGTGCTATTGACTATTTAAAAAAACCCCAAAAAACAGATAGGGGCACCCAGGTTAGAATCTGACCTGTGGCTCCTTTCTGTCCTTCATATCTAGCTCTCTCTCTCTCGCTCTCGCTCTCTCTCTCGCTCGCTCTCTCTCTCTCTCTCGCTCTACCATATTTCTGACTATCCACTGTCTTATTTCTCCAATAAAAGCATTAAAACCCCCAAAACAAACCTTTATTAAATAAAATAAAAGATTACATTGTTTTAAACAAGTGGTCTTAAAGTCACATCATTTTTTTTTTAACTCTGTCACAACTGTGTTATTGTAAGTTATTGTGTCGAGATAAAGGGCACAATCACGTCAAATGCTAAAACATGAGGTCTGAATGCTGAGTCTTACTGCCTCTGTATGTATGTATAAATGTCCCTACTCACCATTTTCTAATGCATTGCACTATTAAAGATGTAGAAGTCCACATTTAGCTGTAACGTATTCCAAAGTGCTTCCTAAGCTGAATATGAAGCAGCTTCAATTAGTGATGACATAATCCTCTAAATGAGTGCTACTGCAGAGCATCAGTGACATGCTTGTAAGTATAAAAATAGCCGCTCTTACATAATCTTAGCTTCATTTATGGCTTTTATTGTTGTTAAAGGCAGAAACTACCTGAGGTAAAAGTGGCAGCAACGGCCGGAAATCCACCTGATCTCAAGAAAAACTTGAGTTTTTCTAGAAACCATGCCGCCAGAACCTCCTGGATTCTTCATTCCCGTTGGAGATGCATTCACAGCCGGAAGAAAATCCATTGTCAGCAGGAGTTGGAGTTTCCTTGGTGACGGGATAGTTGGAGTTACACACTCTAGTCTCCACGGTTTAGATTGAGGGCTCAAAGGCTTTTGGTCGTTTTTGCAGATGTGTGCTGGCTCACATGAGCACACGGAGGCGGTGGACTTCTGCGGCGCATTCTGCTTTATTTTGTTAAAGGTTGGGAAGATTCTCGCTTTGTTCCAAGCTTTAAAGTCTTCCCTCATGGTGGTCGTTGTCTCCAGCGGCTCCTTGCTTTTCTCAAAGTTTTGCAGCGTTGGGAGGATTGATTTGGTGCGTGGACACTGATGTCCTTTGTAGTCCGCGTGTGTTGTGGACAGGAATTCCTCGCGATCCGATGATGGACTGGTCTTTTTGGCCGCGGCCTCTGAGAGAAGGTCTGAATGAGTTTGATTTGCAGGTTTCAAACTCTGAATCTTGGCCTGTGCTGAATGGGCGACGTAATCACACCTGTAGCTGGTCATGCGTTCAAATGGCTGTGACTTTGCCATCTCTCGGTCTGGCTTGGAGTCGGCGGCTACACAAACGGGGCCTTTCTCAAAGGAACCTTCTTTGGGAGCAGTGCTCGTGACCGATAGCCCTTGGTTGACCTTCAGGCTGTCACTGAGCTTAAAGGGCTGACGTTTGGTGACTTTCCACACTCTGAAATCATCTGGAAAGCAAGAGCAGTGAAAATGGATTTGGAACATGACGTACAATGTATTTGTTGTTTTAGATCTAAAATGCACGATACTGATGTGATGTGCAGACTGCTCACTCTGGTACACGGTCTTGTAGTCCTCTACTGTGGATGCTGTTTGTTTGGCTCCAACTGCACTGGCAGTTCTCTGGTTTTCTTTTGGTGGCAGCAGCGATGGTTCTTGGGGCTTGGGTGGAGTTTTTATCACCTTGTGGGCCACATAGAAAGCTCTGAAACGCAAAGTTATGACGAGTGAGTTGTACTTGAATGACACTATTATTTGGTTTGTATGGAACGAGAGCGAGCACAAGGCGTCATGATTCTGCCTCACCAAGACAGGAACATCTTCAGAGTGTGTCATTAATGCGTCTAGTGAGATAAACACTTTGGATCTCACCTACAGGTGGTCACATCCGCAGCAGTCCCCTTCAATGCATGGTACGGGTTTTTCGGCGTGGTGGTTGTGACCATGGCCTTGTAGCAGTGAGGGGGACGGTACCGTTCTTGATACTCTGTGGTCATGAGGGCCCGAGTGTGGGTTCTCTGAGAGCCCAACATATTCCTGTAAATGGTGGAAAAGTAACTTTACACAACTTCAACAACACTGGAGTGATGCTTTAAGCTTTGTAAGACATACGGAGGAAAGAAAACAATAAAGGTTCTGAAAATCATTCAGAGGAAGACAAAGATAAAAGGCTTAAGGTAAACAAAACACAGACACTTTGGCATCTCACACAAAGGTAACATTTCATGTAAAACCTGCAAAGTTGTAATTGACAGCTTTACAACATACACAATCAGCATAGGCTAAACCCTTTCAGGCGTAAGCTGATCACACATTTTGGCAGATGCATCATATTCAACATCCTGCAACCCAAGTCCCAGAATTTCATTAAAAATATTAATGTAACATTTAAAAAAAAAAAACCCAAACAAACAAAAAAAAAAAACAAGCAAGCATTTTATGTTCTCTTCAATAAAAGCCGTCAAAAAAGATCCATCCATCATGTAAATAAACACATGAGCTCACCTCATTGATGCTCCTTGTTGGTGGTCGGTGGGCTGGGTGATTTGCCCCCTCAAACTTTTGGGCTCCATCTCTCTTCCAGCTCCCCCTACTCTCGTCGGAGTCCTCATGCTGGAGAGCTTGTGGTAAACCTGCTCTCTGACTGTTCTACGGCAGGCCTACAGAGTCTAAATTATTGACTGGAGGACGAACACGGGGTGTGTGTGTGTGTTGAACGAGAGTAGCACGCAGCGGCCGACAGCGTCTAAAAATAACCATCAGTGGATTACTCAGTGATGCGGGCCGGTTGTCAAGGCGAGGACGCCGCTCGTGATGAAGCACTTTTTTTAAGCGACAAACCAGAATTCTAAAAATAATGTGACAATTTAACAAAGTGGACGAGGGACTTGTGGGAGGGGGGTGGGTGTGTGTGTGTGTGTGTGTGTGTGTGTGTGGGTTGTTAAATTGCATGTTTCATATTTCTAACTCGCTTTCACTGTGTATTTTTTTTTTAACATGCTGAATATGCAACACAGTTGGAGTCGTGCATGCTGCAACGTGACTCAGTCCCAGGAGTCCATCTGTCACTTTGAACTCATGTCCAAAAAGAGAGAGAGAGAGAGAGAGAGAGAGAGAGAGAGAGGGGGGATTTAAAGCCACACATGCACACACAAACAAAAACAAAATGAAAAAGGATGTTGTCAGGGGGATTTCGACTACGCACTAATGATAAATTATGGACGATTCTGTCCACAAAATCGAGTGCCTTGCAAAATGTGTCCACTAGATGGCGTCCAAAGCTTTTTTTTTTTTTTAAAAGACTGCAAAAAATCCTCAATTAAATATGTTTTTTTTTTATGGCACCTACATTTAAAAAATAAATACTCAACGCTGAAAATGCAATAGATGTTGATACATTTTTAAACTTAAAATGCTAAAAAATGTATATATTTTTAGGCTTTTGTCAGATTATAACAGAACCAGAGTTAGAGCATGTAGTACTACTTCACAACCAGGCCTGTATACATATGGCCTATTCAGTGGTATATAACTAGAAAGGAAACAAAAACACGGTGTAGATGGAGGGCTCAACTGCAAGAATAAAGGAGATTTAGGCCTACTGATCCCAAATGAATAGAATGCATATAGCAATAAAACAGAACTCCAATAAAGAGAAGAAATACATTTATTAAATGAAAAATATTTCAGACATAAAGAATCATTTTCTTTATGTTCAGTGCTTTGCAAGCTGCCATTGTGCGTCTCACTGACTTAAAGCTCCTGTGAGGAACTTTCAGTGTACTGCGATCTCGGTTTGCTGATCGTGTGTAATTAGTGTTTGCTGATGAACAATCTCATCCTGCCATCTCTTAAAAGTCAAATGTTCACTCACTGTGAATATAAGCTGTGGAAAATGTAAACAAAGGCTGTTTCTGCAGCATGCTGTAATCCACTTCATCTGTCACCTACCCCCTGGCAGTGATTTCAAGCGTTAATAACAGATATGAAGAAATGATCTAACTGGTCACTGATGTTCTTGTTTGCTTTCGTAGATCATAAAAAGGCATCGTTTTATAGTTTGTCTGTTTCTTAACCAGCTTAAAACCCCTCACATGATCTTTAAATGTATAGAGGGATACAACCTTGTTCTGTACTCTTAAAATGCCCAACCAAAGGAAAGCTGCACTCATCGTCACACAGTCAAGTCTACACGAGCAGAGTATAATAGAGATGTGTCGCTCACTCTATGAGATGATTCCCCCCCCCGCCCCCCCCCCTTTTTTTGTTGTTATTTAGTACATGACAGAATGAAGGGATGATCTTTTCTCCACTCTGCACGGTCACAGGCACACCACAGTATAATACCATAATGTATTATACCAAGCATCATGTAAAATGGGGTTAATTCTGGAAATTATACGATTTAGTAAAGTATAGTATAATACTTACAAGGAATCATTTCAGTACAGTACAGTGCATTGCACACATATCGGTGTCAATCATAGACCAAAAACAATACTACATTTGACAGATTTAATAAAAGCCAAATTGTTGCCAAATGCTGTTTGGGAGCTCTTCTTGCTGAGCTGAGCCAAAAGACCAGGATCACTAAAAAGAGCCGGTATGTCCATGGTATCATCACTGGAGCAAAAAGTAAAAAGCCCCATTACAAACTAGGTAGTGATTTTAAACTGTAATCCGTACTTTAACAATATTCTATAACATCACCTATTCATTTTAAGGATCTGCTGAAGTCAGATCTTTATTGAAGAGATACTTCAAATTAACTTGTGATGATTTATTACTAGCCCAAAGATCTTTAGTACTTCCCTTTACACTAAAACCAAAAGAGTGAATAAGCTACCTTAAGTTATCTCATGTTTACTTTGTTGATCAAATTATTCATTGATTTTTTTTGTTTTTGTTTTTGTAGTCTTGCTCATTTTTGTCAGTTGTCAGTTTTGAAACTTGTTAGTCTTGTTGTGAAGCAGTTTGAGCTGCATGATATTCACATTACATGGTCATGTTGAAACTCAAGGGTTGGACCTTTTACCCCATATGGCTTTTATAAAAGCTTTATGCCCTCAAATCTCTTGAGTGTTAGGATCATGCCCTCTTAATGAAAAGCATTATGAGTTTTTACACTCTTATGCAACACAACAATAACTTTAGTCCACTACTGCCTCTAACTAATGCATTTCAAGTGGTTAAGGATCGCCCCGTGTTAATGACTGTATGTTTACTTCATTCTGAGCTCTCCATCTTTCTCTTTCCTTCTGAGTGATTTGGAGTGAAGATGCATTAAAAAGCCAAGAGGCTGGAGAAGTCAGGAGTCTGCTGAGGTTTATGGATATTTGAAGCCCTTTCCCATTAAGTATTACTGACTGCATATGAAAATTGACTGCTCTCTTCAGTGACATCGTGCACCGAAAAAAAATCATCTCTGCATTTTGAAATGATGGAACAGGGTTAGAGGATAGATGTTGATCATGCTCTTCATAAAATATGGATTAAAAGAAGCTCAAATTGAGAGCAACAGTCTCCAAAATAAATGTACAGAGCATCCTTCAGCGTCAGTGCATTACCAGCTGCACTGATCTCAGATAGCTGTGCTGAAGATTAGTACATACGCAAGGTTATCATTCGGTCGTTTAAACATAGTCTTATGTAATGAGAGTGGATAAGGGTTAGATTTAAAGTTGAAGTATGTTCAGGCTAATTGCCCACATCGATGTTTTTTTATACCCCCATCATGACAACCTCAAATGAGAAATCAATGCATCAAACACAGTGGGCACACTGTGGGGTCACCAAACGCCTCCATCTCTTTTAGAGACGCGTTGATGTGCTTTGTAACTCCCTTTTCCCCACTTGATGTCTATTAAACAGCCTCAAAATATAATGCTATTTTCACGCCATTAGACGTTTCAGTAAGTCCCTCTACCCGGCCACACCTTTGAAATAGAACTTTCCAGATTAGTGTGCGCTTTTACGCAGCGTCATGACCAAAACAAAGCCAAACAAACTACAAAAGTAAACATGCCCACACGTTGGCTCAATGATATGTCCTTCCAATGAAGTCACACCAACATTTCATTAATGATTATTGCCTTTATTGTCTCGCTTTCTTGCCTGGTTTTACAGTAAGTATGTTAAGTTTAAACAAAATGCAACTGTCTGCGTCTTTACGCAGCGGCCCGTCTTTGTCAAACCAGGGATATGAAAGTGATTCTATATATTTGCACATCATGGCAATCGTAATGCGACTGCAAGAGCTCGAAGGGAGCGGGTCAATAAATTATGTTAATCAGTCCGGGCAGATTGGAGGCGTGTAGTTGCCATAATGAGGGGGAGCACGCCTGCACAGTGGAAAAGCTCCGAGCGGTAAAGCTGTCTCCACTGCACGCGCGCGCTGCCTTCTATTTCCCCAGTCTCTCTTTCTACTTTATTGTGCATATATAGCGCGTTTCCTCTGCAGCAGACTACTGTGCAAGGCTCGGCGCAACAAGTTTGCTCGAGCCCCCCACGACGCGCCCGTCAGACAGGTTGACTTTGCTTTTGGCTGGAGCGGAGTAGAGCGCCTCTCTTTTTGGTCGCTGTCACCACAAAGTCACACTGCACGTGAACGCGGCGTCGCAGAACCTCTCTCACACACTCTCTCTCACACACACACACACACACACTTTCTCGCAGAACAGTGTGCCATAAATTCGCGACTCCGCGCCAGATGCAGTTCGCTCCCAGCGGCGCGTGTAGTTGTAGTTAAATGGAGATCGCGGAGGCAAGAGGAGCATCTTCGTGCGTGGAGAAAATGGAGAAAGAAGTGGCGCCTCAGAAGCGACAATATCACCGCGCAACAGTGCTGAACATATTCTCATCTTTATTTTCGGTGGCGTCCATCGCCTTCTGCGTTCTTCTGACCATTAACTCAGCTGATATCAAGAACCGGGTTTTGGATTTGGAGAGTGGGAATGGCGAGCACACCTTCATCCGTGCCCCGGGTTACTCCATGGATGATTTTAATTCACTCATTGAACAAAGAGTGGACCAGCTGCTCTCTCAGGTAAGATTTGCTTGTGCACTTTTGATTTTGATTTTTTTGTTTCATTTTCCTACTTAGTTGCCCCTAAACCTGCAAACTGTCAGTGAACATCCACAACAGAACCCCCCCGATATATTGATTTCATTGAAAGCCACATGTGCGTGTGAATGAAAATGCCTTTCTTTCAAAATTTCAGCGCTCCTATGAAAATTTTGTCAAGATTCGGACTGCCAGACAAGCAGCAGCTGAATGCAACTGCCCCCCAGGTAAGGAAAACTCATTCTCCTGCTGTCTGTTGGTGTGTGAGACACTGGATTGGCCTCCAGCTTCTGTTTGCAGAGTTGTATAAAAGAATGAATGGAAGCTGACTGAACAGGTCCTTAGTTTATTTTCATTGACACAGATGACCCATGGCAGCTTGCCTGGATTGCGTTGATAGTGTTCTAGAGGGAAGGGGGGGGGGGGGGGGTCCAGTGTGAAGGATGCACACAGCTGACCGTCTATAACACTTAACAGAAAGAAAGGCATTTAACAGGGGGTCTATACATAGAGGCGCTGAGAGGTTGTTTGACTTGTGATGTTGCCTGCTCACTTGCCCTCTCCGAGGTAGAAAAAAAAAACCCTCTTGAAATTCACTTTTCCCGCCAGTAGATGGAAACATTTATTCCTTCAGTGTTGGTCAGCATTCTGGGATGGAGTCAAGGTTGGGTTAGTCAGTGCATCAGAGAGGGATGTTGGAGGAAATTCACAACACTATTATTGGCTGTAATCACTTTTATTCATACCACAGCATTAACTGCTGTGCACTGTATTATTTGGGGAAAAAAATGTTGCTTTCTAGATTGAAATCTGCAGTAAGACAGATGTGAAATGAGATATTTTGCTATTTGAAATACTCCAGCAGGTTTCAGCTTCTATCAGGTGTAATGTAAAGTTTAGATACTTGTGTAGAGTTTGAGTTCGGAGTCCATTCATGCTTTCCTCCTTGATGTGCATCTAAGGCTTTGTAACAGATAAAGGCTTTAAATCTCCAGTTATTGTACCACATAGGGTCATTGTTTTTTCACTCAGTTAGCTCAACAAATTGAAATACCTCAAATTACTTCTTTACTTCAAACAGCAGTGAGGACATCGTATTTCTGATCCACCTTGTACAGTAGTAGAACTCACTAATGCCTACATTTGCCACTTTTAATCTGTGTACTGTCAGAATGTCACCAGGTCACAGAGGTAAAGCAGGTAATAAAAAAATACCCCCATTGTAGTCCATAGACTCATCAGTTTATCATTTAGCCTGTGTCAGCAAAGTGAGTTTAAGCAAACAGTTTAAAGTTGGGCTTTTCTTATCTCATAAAAAGTAGACAATTTGAAATCCTTGCTTTTCTCTTGGCAACAAGGACATCAGTCCATGTTGCATTTGCACCAGACATGCTTCAACTGTTTGCTTGTAGCATTTTTTCGGCTTAAGCCCCATAAAGAATGTCAACAAGGTCAGTGACAATCAGACCGCAAAAGCAGTCCTTTGATTTTCTGCTCTCTCCCATAAAAACATGTCTCTCATAGTAACAACTCCAATAACTCTCTCAGTGTGAAAATGACCCTTTTCATGTCTGTGCTGAACCACTGTACTGCAAGGAACTGACATGAGTATTTAAAGTTTGATGAAGAGGGATCTGTGTGCATCACATCCTCAGTCAACCCCCAGCTGGAACTACAGTAAGTGTGAACAAACTGTGGGTGACCTCTTTGAAAGAGACATAGCGGGGATGTTGTACAGTGCAGCCTTGTGTGATGGATGTTTGGATGGACAAACAGGTGGGGTCTGTTCACTGCTGGATTAAAGTGGTTTTCAGTGTAGTGGTCAACCCTCGCTTTAGGCAGGTTCTGCTCTGTTGATCTCTGACCTCTCTTGGGTGAAACCAAAAAATGACTCTCCATTCCAACAAAATGACACATTAGAATATTATAAATCTGTCATAATTAAACACACATGGAGAAAATGAATCAGAAGAGTGAAAGTGAATTTCCTTAAAGACTAATACAACGTGGTTTATCAATTGTGAATGACTCATCTGCTGAATTACAGAGCCAGGAGTAGTATTACTCTCTCTGTTCTTAATCGTTATCATATGCTGGCCATTTATTTTCACGCATTACATTTCTGTCAAGGGCAAAGATATAACAACAAAAGCTTTTCATATCAAATGAAGCGTGAAAACTCTAAAACTAAGGCGGTGGGCTTCATCTCAGAAACTGGCCCTCTCAAATGTTTTTGTCCGGTGCTTATTCCACAGCGTCTCCATAGATGGCTGAATAAAAAACACATACATCGTCTGTAAACTTTGAAGACAACATTGTGTTTAATGTTGTTGTATTCATGCAGTGCAAGTGATTTACACATGCAACTTCTACCATTTTTGTTGAATGCTAAGAAGGCGCAAGGCTTTTTCAGGCCAAATATCTTCATACCCCATGAATGCTGAATGGGTTCACTCAATATTTATCCTCTCCCCTGTCTAAGAGACAGCCCCTGGCTCTGATGTGGCTTTTTTTTTTCTTTCTTCGAGGGGAGGAACGTAATGTGCTTTTCACAGTCTTCACTTTATTGCTGTCAAAGAAGATGGAGTAGTTGCAAAGACAGCGCAATGGTCCATAGCTGGAGGATATTTTATAGGTTGCTTCTGAATCAGAGGGAGTTCGTAACATCTTTATCAAAGAAAGTCCGACTAGAACTTAAAGTACGTTTTATTCATGCTGATGTAGTCCTCGGTTAAAGAAGATGAAGCTTCTTTTATGGTGTGATTTGTCATTCTAACAGTGTCTAGTTTACTGACTTTTAGCTTCTGATCACATTTTCTAACTTGGGCTTGAATCTAATGGCAATGGTTGTTTGAAAGCTCATCCACTTTGTTACCATCTGAAACACACCAATAATTTCTCGATCAATTGCCATGACACTTTTGTTCCACACGATCATGGCCGCAACTTTTTCGGATCCCTAAACTATTCCTCTAGTGTAGCACAAACAGCACGTTAACATTTGTAGCATATTGTGCCCAGAGCATCAACCCTGCTGACTTTAAGTTATCATCCAACTTTTGCTTCGGTGCCTCCATGGAATTATTATTTTTTGTGTCTGTGTGTGTGAAATATCTTTACAGCCACTGGTTTGGTATAAATTATGTTGTCCAGACTTTCATGGTCCTTAGATGATGAATGTCTTGTCTTTAACTTTGTTTATGGCTCGATCAGTACGTTTACTTTACTCTTTTCGTAAACTGCCTGGACAACTTTGTTGCGCACATATTCCAACATGAACTATTTCGCTGAATGATTCCTACTGGCTTCAGGCATCCAACTTCTCTATGAGATTGATCTTTTTGTTTTTTAGTGAAATATTATTACATCTAATGGATAGGACAAATACGTATGAAGACATTCATGATCCCCAGAGGAGTAGGCCAACATTTTTTTTCTGATCCCTGAATAGTCTCAGGTCTATGGGGAAAAGAAAACCCACCAAACCAAGGAAAAGTCTGAAGTCACACCCACTCAGTCTACCACACTGTGAGACGAGCCTCCTCCTAATAATTGCTTCAGCATTGGGGGAAGTTTTCTTTTCATTTTTTTTCTGTATACCTTTTCCTCCTCTGGGATCTGCATTCCAAGCAGGGCCTGTTGTTTAATGGCACCATCATAAAATGTGCTGTCAGCAAGCACTGGTGCTTTGCTCCATCCCTGTTTACTCACCCATACGCCTCAAACCCCCTCTCACCTACACCCCCCTGCACTCTGCAGCATTTCTTGAAGTTAACGCTTCAAAAGAGCTGGAAGCTAAACAGCCACAGTGCTCTTGAGAGAACAACAACATACAAATTGTAATGTGCGAGATTTTGGTGTTCCCTACTAAACACCCGCTGCTTGATGTCAAGGGTAAAGGGGTAGCAGAGGGTCGCATCAGCTGTTATGGATTAAGATTTTAAGATACAACCAGAAGTAGATGCAGCCATATCTGTTTGGCTTGCGTTGCAGATCTATATTTGATTCACTTAAACGCGCAGTATGTTAATTTCACCACCAGGGGGCTCTCAATCAAGTTAATAACAGAAGATGACTTTGATGCTGCCGGGGAATCGTGGGAGTGATTCTCTCTGCTACTCCACCCTCATCCTGATGAAAACAAACAATATATCCAAGAATACATTACTTTACTTATCACAGCAGCACATACAGCAACAGTACGGCAGCTTTCACTAGCAGCTCCAGCTTCCTTGTCTAGTGATCTCTGATGTAACATCCAGTGTTTCCATGGAAACAATAAACATGTCTTGTCTGTCATGGTGGCTGTTGTGACAATACTGTTAAAACTATAAAATTAAGGATTTATCTGGCTTTGATAACTGTTGAAAATATTTGAGGTAATGTAAGTAAATATATTTAGGTATAAAAATTCGACATATTGTATCTTTAAGCAAGGGAAATCTACAAACACACAAACTCACAAAAATCTCTACGTAATTACCTCCTTTTCAACGTTTTGTTTCCAATCTGGGTTACGGCCCCCTCTCTTTCCACCATTTACAAACTGTATAATCCCAACGGCCTGATACATTTACAGTTGTGCCAATCCCCTCAGTTATCCTCAACAAAGTGAGTAACTGGTAATTAATCACTGACAGCTTTTGAATTTAGCCCTCTGTGTGGTTTGGTGCTGGGAGGTGGCCTAATGGCCATGTAATTACTGAGTGCTAGGTAAAGCTAAGCAGACTTCCAGGTAGCCACTGCTGCCAGCTGCTTCTGGTTACTTGCGTCAGGTTAGGCTGCTTTTGAGAGAGCGTGAGGCCGGAGACAAAAGATGAAGCCTGGGAAGCCATGCCTGCAGGCAACTGTGAATGAGCAATTACGATTTTGAGTGCTGCTAAATTGCTTTACAGGATATCTGCATGTAAAGCATGAGTGTAATGTACTCAAAGCAGTGAATAACATCTTGCAGGGATTGTTTTGTGAATGAAAAGAACAACCTATTGACTTAGATTTGACATTTGTCCCAAAAGATTAACATGACGTATTTTATCAGTGGTGCATTTGCCCTGATTTTCAATCTCACACAAGGTTTATTATAAAGGGCAGGATGCTGGAAATAGCCCAGATGGTCTCTTTTATACCTTTGACACAGCACTTTTTATGGGGGGATGATGAGGCATGCCAGCTCAAAGCACTGGTAATGACTGTGAGGCTTGAAAGGGAGGCTTACTTTTTCTCCTCT